TGCGTGCATACATACCTACAGATGTACGTACGTGCATACGTATACGTACATGCATACGTACATATGTACCTACATACGTACTTGTGTACATATGTACATACCTACAAACGTACATACGTAGATACGAACATCCATCCATCCATCCATCCATCCATCCATCCGTCCCTCCGGAAAAAGGAGTGAAGACGAGAGTTAAGTAAGACTAACTCTCAAGTTGATACTTTAGCTTTTAGTACACGTCAATATACATCTCACAAGAATTAAACTTTGGAGTTGAGTCTTTTGTCGATCCTGTTTGTGTAGGAATTGACTTCACCGTTAATTCTTTGTTGTTTGCTTGGGCATCGAGACGCATGTTGGAGCTTTTTGGACCTCTTCCAAAAGAATTAAATCAAGAGTTAATTCTTTTATTGTGACTTCAATCTATCTATCTATCCATCTATCGATCTATCTATCTATCTATCTGTCTGTCTGTCTATCTGTCTATTTGTCTAAGACTCTTTACAGGGAGTTGGGAATTGTGAGACCCCAGCACGGAACGAAAATGCCTTCTTATGCTTCTTTAGTCGAATTAACAGCCAAAATATCTCAAGCTCAAGAAGACACAGGCAAAGAAAGAAAAAAACAACCAAGGAAGGAAGGAAGGAAGGAAGGAAGGAAAGAGAAGGAAGAAAGGAAAGGGAAAGGAAAGAAGGAAGGAAGGCAGAAAGAAAAAGGTATACAAAAAGAAGAACAGGAGGGCAATAATGAAAAAGGACTAGCTCAAGAGTTAATTCTCTTGCCGCTCTACTAACAATGCTAGCAGAATTACCTCTAGAGTTAATTCTTTTAGAGCCACAGGTTGAATAGGGGCAAAACCTAAAGAATTAACATTGGAGTTAAAACTAATTAACTCTTGTATCCAGCCTCTTCCTCCGTCCGTCCGTCCACCCATCCATCCATCCATCCATCCATCCAGACAGACAGACAGACAGACATACACACACGTAGCTAATATGTATTCATGCATTTACATTTGAGATAAGGTGAAAATAAGCATGACTACTTTAGTAAGGGAGGGTCCAGTTGTGTCCAGAAAGCGTACCAAACCATGTAAAGCGATAGGGAACCCAAAAAAAGAGGATAACTTGTAACCATATGAGAGTGCATTAAACTTGGTGTAAACCAAGAACATAATGTTGTGCACCTCCACGCGGTGGGCAAAACTAATGAGGAAATTTCAACCTGGAGCGCCCACGTTTCTTGCAGTGGCCATGTCATTTGTTGTCCAAGGTGATTGAACCGTTGCTTTCTGCAGGCAACCTGTTTTTTTCTCCCAGGTCCCGCAGCAGTGGAATTAAACCAAACTAAATGGCTAAATGCAATTGAATTCTGGGTTAAATCCAAAAATGTTTTAAATCAATTCGGAATTCCGTTTATGCGCTGTATAATTTAATTTGAAATTATTCTTCCTTTTGTGTCCTTTTCTCTTACCTTCCTTTTTCCTTCTACTTTCATTTTGAAACTAAATGCTATCGAATTCTGAAGTAAATCAGAATAAGTTGAATCCAACTCTGAATTCCCTCTATTTCAGTTTTTCCTTTTCGTTTCATTTGTCCTTTTCATTTCCTCTTTCTCTTCCTTTCTTGGCCATCCTGGTGTTCTAACAACCTTAGCGAGAACCTAGCGATGACCTTTTGTTGAAAAGGGGTCCCCGGACGAGGGATAGACTCATTTGACCACAGCGATATCACTTTTCGTTTCCATAGAACTATTGGTCTTATATTGGGTACTGTCATTCTAGTTTGGAGTTGAGATTGTAATAAAGTTCCTTGCTTAGGAAAGAGTTTAGGAATGTGCTTAGGTAGCTCCCCAACATGGTTGCAAACGCAAAGACAACGAGCGCCCCCTTAATCCATCCCCGGCAGTTTAGAGATCTGAATCCGTGAAGCCAATTCCGCTGCATTTTTGCATTAGTTATATAATGTTGGTGTGAAAAAACCATTGTAAAGCGATAGGCCCCCCCCGCAAAAGCAATAACCTATATTTCGTACCAAGCATCAACACTTGATTTTGACGGCGGCTCATATAATGTCATTTCATCCTTACCTTTTTTATATACATGTATGGTGTAGAATATGATTTGTATATATATATAATTATGCATTTACATACATAAATACATAGATACATAGATACATACATACATACATACAGACATACATACAGACATACAGACATACAGACATACAGACATACAGACATACAGACATACAGACATACAGACATACACATACACACATACACACATACACACATACACACATACACACATACACACATACACACATACACACATACACACATACATACACATACATACACATACACACATACATACATACATACATACATACATACATACATTATTGCATATGCACGATTTCTCATGGATACAAGAAAGTGTAGACATCCACTTTACGCATATACACGCACATATTTCCAGACGTGCATTTCTTAACACGTACCTGTACAGTATACGCATGTGCATATATACTTTAGCATGTCGGGCTAGCACGTTTTTGAGGGGTCTCTTTAGAGCCTATGTCTGCCTCCATTTTCTGCATTACTGTTCCCTTAACTTTCTCCATTTTCTGCATTACTGTTCCCCTAACTTTCCCCTTTTCTGCATTACTGTTCCCTTAACTTGCTCCATTTTCGTGCATTACTGTTCCCTTAACTGTCTCCATTTTTGTGCATTATTGTTCCCTTGACTTTCTCCATTTTCTGCATTACTGTTCCCTTAACTTGCTCCATTTTCGTGCATTACTGTTCCCTTAACTGTCTCCATTTTTGTGCATTATTGTTCCCTTGACTTTCTCCATTTTCTGCATTACTGTTCCCTTAACTTTCTCCATTTTCTGCATTACTGTTCCCTCAACTTTTTCCATTACTGTTCCCTTAACTGGGGGAGAGTTAAGGGAACAGTAATGGGGCCCCTGGGGGCCAATTTGGAGACCAATTTGGAAGCCAATTTCGGATTCGAAATCATTGATTTTTGGCGAATATTGGACCCCCAAACGGACCCCAAAACCTCCATTACTGTTCCCTTAACTGGGGGGGTTAAGGGAACAGCGAGTTAAGGGAACAGCAATGGTTTTTACAACCTAATTCGCAGTACTGTTCCCTTAACTTTTTCCATTACTGTTCCCTTAACTGGGGGGAGTTAAGGGAACAGTAATGGGGCCCCTGGGGGCCAATTTGGAGACCAACTTGGAGGCCAATTTGGGGACTCGAAATCATTGATTTTTGGCGGATTTTGGACCCCAAAACTAAGGGAAAGTTAAGGGAATATTAATGGAAAGTTAAGGGAACAGTAATGGGAAATTAAGGGAACAGTTAAGGGAACAGCAATGGAAAATTAAGGGAACAGTAATGGAAAGTTAAGGGAACAGTTAAGGGAACAGTAATGGAAAGTTAAGGGAACAGTAATGGAAAATTGAGGGAAGAGTTAAGGGAACAGTAATGGAAAATTAAGGGAACAGTAATGGAAAGTTAAGGGAACAGTAATGGAAAGTTAAGGGAACAGTAATGGAAAGTTAAGGGAACAGTTAAGGGAACAGTAATGGAAAATTAAGGGAACAGTAATGGATAAAGAAAACGTGTTAGAGTAACATCCTAATATATACTATATACGTGTTCATACATACATGTTGGCTCATACATTGTGAACTGTGTGTATTTACTCATCCGGACATCAAAAATGAATGTACATGTAGATACACTTGTATGTAGGTACATGCTCATTTGCATATGCCCGTATTTGTACATGTACATGTACATGCATATATGTGTATATAACTGCAGGCATGAACGAATATATGCGCATATTTTGCATAAGCCATTCATGTATGATGTCTTTTGGGAAAGACTGGCTAACATGGGGAGGGCCAACGTCAAGAACCTTCAATCATACATACATACATGCATACATGCATGCATGCATACGTACGTACATCCATCCGTCCATCCATCCATCCACCCACCCATCCATCCATCCACACACACATACATACATACATACCTACCTACGTACGTACATACATACATACATACAGACATGCATGCATGCATGCATGCATCCATACATACATACATACATACATAAGCTGCACATATCACGAAAGCTAGCCTGTGCTGCTAGCTGAAGTTGCTCTTGCTTTAGCAAGGAATAGGCAGGCACCAGCACCGTTGGAAACCCTGAAACTTTTCCAGTTAGACCCTGGTTGGCCCGGGTTCAATCCCGGCTGGTCCCCCTGGGTCCCTTCTCGACCCTTCTTAGATGCCCGCTGCACCGGCCCCGTGGACCATGTGTTGTCATCATCTCAATAATTCATTTTCAGTCACTGTCAGCATCTGCATCACCATCATCAGGTGGTTTTGGGGCAGGTACAGGGTTCTACGTCTTTATCTTCGCCTTCTTCATTTTCATCTTTTGAGCATTGAGTTCATCGTTGTTGTCGTCGTCATCGTCGCCATCATCATCATCATATCATCATCGGCATTATCGTCAAAATTATTCCTACCTACCATCATCATCATCAATTCATCAGTTTCCTCTTGGAGGTCAGCAGTCTCCGGTACAACATCAGTAGCGCCCTGCTAGCTTTCGTACCGCCCCCCTGGCCTCAAGTATAAGCTGTACATACGGACGGACGGACGAACCGTACATACACCACATGCACACATGTGCCCATTATGTGCACATATGTGCTTCCTTGAGAGAGTCACAATTTTGGACTTCTTCTCGGGAAATTCTAATGGCCCTCTGCCTGGAGGTTTCAGGGCAACTGAATTGGAATGAATGTGCTGTACGTTCTTGGAAAACAACAAAGGTCCCAAATCGAAAACTGTGGAAGTTCAGGTGTCATAGCCTCTACTAGATATTGAACAGCCTTAGGCAGTGACAAGGCGTGAGTCCCTATGGAAGGTGTCCCCAACATGCAGCATGTAAGTTTGAGGTGCGAAGTCCTGGAAATGGCAATGTGCTGCCAGATGCATACTCCTGGCATGTTTTCTGACCCTGGCATGGAGGTTTGGGTTGTTTGGGTCGGTTTATGATATATGTTTCATTTTTCTCTGCGCGATGTCACAAATTTGTAATCGGTGAAGGACGCAGGGTACCAGAGCAATTATTGAACATTGCTGATCTTCCCGCAGGCCAAACACTTCACTTGAAGTCTTCACAGTGGCTAGCCGTGGGCCTAGCAAGCAGTGCAAGCAGTGCAGACATGAAGATGTTCAGCGGCACATGTATACAGTAGCACCTTTTTTTGGGGGTTCGGTGCCTATTCATGTTCCGAGAACACGCCACAAGAGCGTAACATTTCGTTTGCTCTTTGATAGGAATCAGGCTGTCGTAACGTATATAGCTCAATAGAAATCAATGTGCTGCTTGTCGCCGCTTCAAACTTTGCAAAAGAACATGACATGATTGTCTGGATAAAAGTACTGATGTTTGTTGATGTATGTCAGCGGCAGTGCATACTGACATATTGCGCCACAATTCTAGATGTTTTTCGTTGCTGGTTTTCATTCGCGGTTTTATCATCAGGCCAGCCGAACCCCAAGAGACCTTCACAGTCGTTCGGGCGCACGATCGCGGTCCACACATGTGCAGGTCGGCAAATGTGAAAAAGAACAGCTAAGTGAACCTTCACGTGTCAAAGCCTGAAGCATTGCTGCAATGCAAACACGTGAATATTCGGGGTTGGAATTAGGACAGTGCCTTTTGGTGTTTGTTTCTTTTTCACGGCCATGGCCGTGGTTGTCCTTCCATTACTCATCAAGGGTAATGCATGAGTCTTTGCTCTCCCTTGTTCTCAAGCTTATTGAATTTCTGCTGCTTTTTCTCTAGGACTTAGCTTGTTTGCTCACTCTCTGCTTCATGATATTCAACCATTTCAGCAGTATTGCGCAGGAAGCACCACCGCAGAAGAAATACCTGCGAAGCCACGTCGGATGACAGCCAAGCAGTGGATAAAGCCGCTTGGTAAGACTAACTATACTGCGCGTGTTCGACACTGTAGAGAAACAGCATCATCTGAAATCATGATACATAATCTACTTTTGTCTAACACTGATGCAGGTACCTTTTCTCCATCCACGGCCTGAGCGGTGCGCTGTCTGTTCTTGGCGGAAGCATTTGGACCACTGCTCCCTGTCGCAGAAGGGAACTCGTGTCAGCCAGGGATTTCAGGGATGAACAAAGGCGCACGTGAAGCCATTTTGAACCCATCGTTATATACCGGATCAGAAGATTTCTATTTTTCCTTTCCCTTCAGTTGTCCCGAGTAGCGCAGCAGTCAGCTGGAACACGTGTATATATTACTGTGTTTTCTCGCTGGGAAAGAGACCATACCACACTCTGCATCCATGCCAGGCAGTTCTATAAAGCATCCATGTGTCTGCAAGTGAAGAGATTGAGGTTCGAATGGCAAAGGGCGTCCGTGTAGCAAGCCACGAAGAAGTTGTGTTCAACGTCGTTTTGAGTGCTCTCATTCTCATCACTGGCATCGAGCGTCTGAGGACAGGGCAAACAATAAACCTGCCAGACCCAGAGAGCATAAAGGAATTGGAAGGTGTTGCTGAAATTTTAAAGATCGATCCTGCGCAGACCTTCTAAGTTTCAGAGGCTTAAGCGCATGAGAGAAGACAGCTGATTCCGACGCCAACAGCATTCTTCAGCACTTGCCTGCCAGGACGCTGCGCAATCGAGATGTGTTGCTGAAATTTTGGGTTGGCATTTCCATACAGATCTTTGCGTTGTGTCAAGTCCTTGAAGAGCCATTGCTTGGATGGATTCCACATGCAGTCTTTGGAAACTGGCTGAGCCGGATTTGGGGAGTGCTGTCAGTTTTTTTCTATGTCAAATGGCTGCTGCAAATCAAGAAGTGGAACGAAGCTTATGAAACAAAGAGTGATAAAACAGTCGCACGCATTTTCCATCCCCTTATGGCTCCTGCAATGGGTTCGGTCGTCGTGATGGAAGTTGTCACCTTTGCCAGATCCTTAGACTTTCTTCGTGTGACTGTGTCAAATCAGAACCTGCCTGTTGCGGTAGGGTCGTGTCCGGTGGGGTGTGAAGCATGCTTTGAATTTCAGGAGTCGGTACGTTGGTGCGCCTGTCTTGGCAAAGTACCATTGCCAGAGTTAAGTTTGTCATCATGAATGACTAGGTCAACTTCGTGGAACTCAACTTCAATTTGGTCAGCAGGCCGTGCCTGCACTGCTTTCCGCGGCTACGGCTTTAAATATCTCTTTCAAAGGGTTTTTGTCACGCGCCTCAGGATGCAGGCAGCTAGCTAAGTAGGTAGGCCAGCGTGCAAGAACCTAGGTATCTATGTATGTACATGTCCAAACATCCATGCATTCCAACTAGACCTGAACTTGTGTCTCTAGGACCCCATGAGTCATTCCAAGTCAAATCAGGCGGCAAACGGTGCGATGAACACGATGTAGTTCTTTTCTTTTGGTGGTAAGAAGGGTTGGGTCCATTCATCTTATTGCGGTTTTTCTTTTCCTGTTGTTTCTAGATGAAGATGGGGTTGTGGAGTTGGGTCACCCCATTTTAGTGCTCACATGTCATGTCTAGCTTGTGTGGTGAGTATGGTTATGAATGGTTGTGGCTGCTTCCGTGCATTCGTATTTTGAAATATAATGCAAAATCGCTTTGAGCTACCTTGAACCTTTGGAGCTACCTTGAGCTCTTTGCACTCTTTCAGATGCTTCAGGATGCTGGACACTCTCGGACTAGTTGCCCCAAACCACCTTAATCCACCCACCCTTGGGAGGCCAGGGAGAACCATGACTAATAGCAGCCAGAAAGTGGATAAATGCCAAGACCAAGAGCCCCAACCATGTCAACCCAGGTTCATTTTTTGCTGAGAAATGTGCCGCAAAGCTTCCCAGTGACACCTTTGGTTGAAAAATGGACCACAAGCATTCTAGAAAGGTTAAAGACAAAGCTATGATATGTTTGGCTTTTAACTTTTTTTGTGCCTAGTGTATAGATTCTGTCACTTAGGCAAAGGAAAAAACTAGACGACGGATGGCCCGAGAGCGTAGAGGAGCAGGGTCTTCTCTTGTTAGTATGGAGACACCATATTACAAAACAATATATTAAAGATGTGTTATAGGCAGACGAGAACAAGAGTATCCAGACAATATAGCACAAGTACAAGACAATAGTGTGCATCGCAAACACTTTTACACACAGAAGCTTTTACACACAGACGCTTTTACACACAAAAGCTTTTACACACAGACGCTTTTACACACAGAAGCTTTTACACATAGACACTTTTACACACAGACGCTTTTACACACAGGCACTTTTACACACAGACACTTAGCCCTTGGCCCAGCGCTTTCCAGTAGTAGGGCCGAGACGGCCAATAGCTGGGACCCCGTTGTACCACCATGGATCCATTCTTGTCTCATCTCCCCCGGGGAGCCAATGTGTCTCTCGTCGCACTAGTGCGGCAGCAGTCTTCGGTGGATTGCATGGAGTGTCTTGGCGCTTGCCCACAGCAGCAGTTCTCCCTGAAGAGCTCTACGGTGTTTGCACCTGGCATCTACACTTTCTATGGCTTGATTCTGGACACAAAGGAACCCATGATTCTCAGCACCACGGATGAAACAGCAGTGTTTCCCAAACGTGAAACGGATCCTTTTCAGAAGATGGCCATCTATGATGTTTGCAGTGGCATGGGTGGATTCACCATGGGCTCTGCGCCTCTGGGCATTGATACCATTGCTTTCCTTGAAACCAGTGCATTTGCTTGTGATGTTTTGCGTGAAAATTTCCAGATACCGGTGATTCATGGAGATGTGGCAGACACACGTTGCGTCAGAGCATTGCATGCCATGAAACCTCAAGGTTTTGTTCAGGTGACAGGGGGATTTCCATGCCAGCCTTACTCAAGGCAGGGAGACATGAGAGGTCTCCAGGATGGGAGAGGACAGGTACTCCCTGCCATCATGCGCAGCGCTTGGCTGCTTCAAGCCAATGCAGTTCTCCTTGAGTGCGTTGACAATGTGATGCGATTCGAAGACATCCAAACACTCCTAGATGAGTACGCCACTCAGGCAAATTTCCACATTGAGAAGCTTGTTTTTGACCTTCAAGCTCAGTGGCCAGTACGCCGACGGCGATTCTGGTGTTTGATGCATCAAAACTCTCTTCCGGCTCTTCAGCTTCGACCATGGTCCCAGTGCAACCAATGCCGTACACTGGGCAGTGTGATGCCCTTTGACGCCCAATGGACGGATGACCATGAACAGGATCTGATGTGGACTCACCAGGAAAAGAGCATCTACTTTGATGCAAACTTTGGCAACGATCTTCGAGTACTTCAACCAGATCATCAAGCACCAACGATGTTGCATTCTTGGGCCAATGTATTCACCGCTTGCCCATGTGGCTGTCGATCTTGGCCCCTTTCCAACCATCGGCTACAGCAAGGTGGAGCACGAGGATTTGGACTTGTATCCTCCAAAACACTGCAAGTGCGCCATCTGCATCCAGAAGAAGGAGCTCTCCTCTGCACGGTACCTTTGCAGTACCGTTTTCCAGAGCCACCACGAGCAGCTCTGTGCCTATTGGGACAGATTGCGGCACCACTCCAGGTCATGTGGATCCAAGCACAATTCCTCACCCACCTTCATGAACATCACTGGATCGACACATGCATTGATCCCATACAGGCCGTGATGGACTTCAAGTACGGCCTTATCCACCAATGTGCTCAGCGATGGATTTTGATCAGCATGGACTTGCCACGCACATTGGGGGTCACGTTCGAGGGCACCACTAGCACAATTCGGGTCCACACTCCCGTTACTGCTGGTGACGTTGAGCGTGCAGAAACTACATTGATTGGTGATGGCTATTATGTCATCTTGACTCTCCATTCATGTAGACTGCCATCCTGGTGCCAACTTCATGAAGGAGTACCATATCAATTGCAGGTGATCAAGAAACGACAAGCCAAGCCTACAAGCAGCATTCGACAGGCTATGGGCAGACCTGCTGAAAGGCATTGCCCTCTTGTGCCAGACCATGCACCTCCCGTTGGACTTGGGGACACTCATGTCTGGGCTGGCATCAAGATGTTGATGGATTTTCTCAACTCCTCCCACACTGGCAAGCCATTCACGCTCTACCCCTTCAGGGCGAAGCAGCTTTTGAAACATTAACCCCATGCTGCAGTACAACAAAACTGGAGGCATCGCTTTCTCAGCTCCAATCATGACATCATGGTCATCTTTGAGTATGCGAACCACTGGATGCTCTTGGTTGGCCATTCAGGACCACGATTCAGGTGGGAGCTCCATGACAGCCTACCTCTGGACTCCTCCATTGATAAGCTTCATGTGGCCCACTGTGTCGCCAAACGACTCTCTTCCTGCATTGGCATGGACTTTGAAGCCTGCAGATTGGTCACTTCACCGCGACAGCTCCACAGTCACACCTGCGGATCTATGGCACTCTGGAATATGGCTCATCAACTTGGACTTCAAGCCCTTCTTCCACACCATGATGAGCTGGTGCTTCACCACTTCTTCCTCGACCAACCATGCAGTGCGGCACAGTACACTGCCAAAGGGCCCAAGACCGCTGACGATACACTGTCGCAACTCCTTGCCAGCAAGGGAGTACCACACGATCAAGCTGATCAAAGAGCACAACAAGTACGCGACAGACTTGGCGCAGGGCAGGTCCAACAAATCATGCAGGGACACAACCCCTGGGCCGCGCTCAAAGCGGCAGCCTCAAAACCAGGACGTATGTTTCGCTTGGTGACAGAGGCGGAATTGAAGGCCTATGTGGACAAAAGAGCGCAAACCAAGCACGGCGCCCAGATCCCCAATGCCAAGGGCAAGAAACAGGCCTCACAGATGAAAGAAGGACCACTTCACCTGGACCCGGCTCAATTTCAGCTTGACTCCCAACACTTTCAAGATGCTGAAGGCAAACCAGTTCCTCAGATACTCTTCCAAGATGTAGCCGCAGATCAACGAGGTGTGGCACTCTGCCATCTTGCCATGGCCAAACCTTTCCTGGAGAATCCGAAGTCCATCAGCTTGCAGGGGCTTGCGTTACTGATCATTGACACACCCTCTCAGAAGGTGATTCACGAGACAGGCCTCAAACCCATGGTCTTTCCAGCCCTTTGTACTACCACGGATGAGCACACAATCATCATGGGCTACATCCTTCAACTGGGGGACTCAGCGGTGACCAGAAAGATGGCAAGCCGAGAAAGCGCACCAGATCGTATCGACACACAGGTCATCAAATTCCAAGCCTTCCGGGATCAACTGGAACATGACTGGCATGACTTTACACAAGCCCCAGTCCGCAACATCATTCGCATGATTGAAGCGATGCAACTCTGTCGAGGTCAACAATGCGGCATTGATTGCACCAAATACCATCCTGGTCTTGATGAAGCTCTCGATGCAGTGGTGCTTGAAGTCTGGTCCAGGGCATTCTTGAATGACCAGGGCAAACGCATTGCTCCCATGGACTCAGTACTCTTCACGGTCTTTGTCCGCATTCCAGAAGCAGCACTCAACAAGATCTTGCTCACAGCACCAGTTGGGCTCTACGTCGAGCCTAGAGGCAACCAACCCAGAGAACACGATGACAAATACAGAGTAGTATGGCTTCCTGGTGCCAGCTATCAAGAAGCCCTGCATCAATGCAAGACTTACTCCAAATCGATTTGCTTGGTCAGCTTGAAGACAAAGTACGGCATCCGGGTGCGCAAAAGCGATGAGGTGGCCGCATGGGGCAAACTCAGACCAGGGGTGGAATTTGTCGACATGACAATTCATCATATCTATGAACTCTTTCCACTACCACATGGCACACAGAGACAAGCCATTGGGCAGATTTTGCAAGACTGGTCTTGGCCTGCGAGGGTGCTTCAACCTGGCAGAGGCAATGTGCATCATATGGCATGGAGGGTGGGTTCTGCCACTCCACCACCTGCTCCAATCCTCACTGCCTTTGACTCTGATGTCATCATCACTGCCGTCAAGGACCTTCAGATCCAAGAGAACAAGCCACAGCTTTATGCCACCGCAAAGACCCAAAAGCTCTTGCGGGACCAACCTAAAGCATCAGCAGCAACGAAGGCCACAGCCTCCTCAGATCCTTGGCTTGACAACGACCCCTGGGGCGGCTACAACAAGAAAATCCCAGTG